GTTTAGGGTTTAGGGTTTCGGGGCCTTTAGGGCCTTTAGGGTTTAACGTTTAGGGTTTGGGGTTTCGGGTTTAAGGTTTCGGGTTTAGGGTTTAGGGTTTAGGGTTTGGGGTTTCGGGTTTAAGGTTTCCGGTTTAGGGTTTAGGGTTTGGGGTTTCGGGTTTGGGGATTGGGGTGTGGGAATAAAGCCACGGGTGCCTCGGGGTCAGGTGCACCATGAGGGTTCCGAGGTCGAGGGTGTAGAGTGTAGATTTTGGCTTAGGGGGTTAGCGTTTGGGGTTTAGATTTTGGGGGTTTAGGGTTTAGGGTCCAGCGTCCGGATTTTGGGGGTCTACATGTGGATTTCGGGCTGGTGGAGAGAGAGTCGAAGATTCATTTAAAGCCTGAGCAAAGCCGCTCCCCTGGGTTTAGGGGTTCAAGGCCTCGGGTTTAGGGACCCAAAGGCTCCAAAGTACTTATATAGTAGAATGTGGAGTTTCTGTATTAGGAATTATCATTATGATTTGGGGAAGTGTGTCCCATAACAGTACCTAGGACCTTTTGGGGGATGAGGGTAGGGATACAAAGCCTGTCCTTGGTAGAAGCTTTCGAAGCCTTCCGCTGTAGCGCCTGAAGAAGGAAACTCTCCATTGCCATCGCGCCGCAAGGTTTGTGAACCGACGCGGGAAGCTTGTAGCCCAGAGACTCCAATACCCCTTAATTAAGGAATATACCTTAAATCATATGAGGGCTCCTACTATAATGTAAGGTATATTCCTTAATGAAGGGGTATTGGAGTCCCTGGGAGTCCAGAGGCAGAAGTTGCAGATCATCAGCATACCTCTCGGTAGACATTACCAACCAAGTCACTCCGCATTCCCCGACCGCTTCGAGCCGAAATGCAACAGAGGGCACAACTCATGTAGGCATGTAGCATATACTCTTTGGCCCTGAAGTTACCCATAGGCCCCATAGTAGTTCCTTTTTGGGGGTTACCTTTTAAGATTCTATACATGAACCCCCAAAAAAGGAACTACTTTTCGGGCCTATGGGTAGCTATATATGGACTACTTTAGGGCCTAAGTATGTCTATACTATATGGGTGCAGGACCCCGAGGATTGCAGCCTAAGACCAGCTGGTGTTTTTTTTTTTAATGCGGTGTTGTTGTAAGTTAAGGTTTGAGGTTTACGGAAGTTTAGGGTTTAGGGATTTAGTGTGGCTTGATTTTTTATGTGGGGGGGTGGACTTAGGGTTATTCATCAACAGCATCGGGCCTGGGTTGGTACTATGGTGTAGCTACATAGGCTGGAACGGGATACACAAAGCAATGATTCAGATCTCAGTAGCAACCAACTGTAGGACGCTTCGCTATCAACTGCATAAACCCTAAACCCTGAAACCCTAAACCCAAAGCAACAGGAGCTATTGCCACGACAGGTCGTAGGTTGCTGACCCGACTGCTAGCTGAAAGCCATTCCTACTCTTGCCGACCCTTCTATCTATAAAGGACGAAATGATCCCTAAAAGGGTTAAAGGTTCATATACCATAATAGGGTATCATAGTATAAGGGTATAGGGTCCATAGTTTTAAGGGTCTTTTGGTCCTTAAGGTGCAGAGTCCAAGATCTTCTCATCCAAGCTGAAGGACAGAGCCTACCTCACGCCAATCCTACGCCCTAAACCCCTAAACCCCAAATCCTAAACCCTAAACAAACCCTAAACCCCGAACCCCAAGATCCTAAACCCCTGTACCCCAAATCCCAAAACCCTCAACCCCCAAACCCATGCTTGAGCTTCGTGATTTATCCTTCCGGGCTTGACTGAGTCAGGGGTGTAGGGTTTGGGGCACGGCCACGCGAGGAACATTGACTTCGGAGGCTTTCTGGAACTCGGGATGACCACGGCTGAGGATCGAAACGCCTACTGCTTACGTCATGAAATGACCTACTATGTTTGTCGAGTTTGGGGTTACACGTATACATTTTTGAGGGGCATAGGGTCAGTATGCATTGAAATCCTCGCTTGCTGGTCCCCGAGGTTGAGCACTAGAACTTTAGGGTTTTTGTTTAGGGTTTAGGGATATTGTTTAGGGTTTTGTTATTACATATCTGCAAAAACTGAAACCTCAACCCTAATTATCGACTTGATTATAGGTGTAGGGGTTTAAGGTTTCGGGGTTTAGGGGTTTAGGGGTTTAGGGTTATTAAGGCTCTTTATGGCAGGCTGGTAATGCGAGCTTTCGACCCTTCGAACTCGTGGAATGAAGGGGATGTCGAGTACTTCTTCAGCTGTTTGTCACGTGCACGAGCAGCATATGTGGAAAGGAATGGGCTTAGGGGATTTTTGTAGCTATGTATAAGTAGGCCGCGTAGGAAGAGTTATACTTGGAGTAAATAGGCTTGTCGCAACTGCAACCCTACTCAGTGCATGGTGAGAGTTTCGGAATATTGGGGAGCCTGAATAGTAGGATCCTCATTTATATAAGGACCCCTTGAAAAAGGTTTCTGCAAATCCCATGTCTGCCTCTGCGCAGTTGACTGAACTCTTTGGAGAAGAGGGCGCCTCCTCGAACTCCTACAGACAGCCGCAAAGTGCAGAAGAAAGGAGGTTGTGAGCACCTACAGGCTGCAGGCTGCGAGGAGTCGGAGTGCACCAGCTGAGGCATTCTAGACATTCTACTATATTCTACGCAACAGCTCCGTTTTCCGTGCCTGTTCGTTGCAGCTGGCGCCGTACTTGGCGTCCATCCATCTCATAAACCCTAACCCTGTGAATGCCCGAATACCATCAGAGAATCCAGGTATCTTGCCCTTCATCGCGTGCTAGTCTCAGTCGTCCGTCCTAGCTGTCGCCCAGCTCATAGTCTTCGTACTCCTCCTCGACTGCTTCCAAGCCTGAAGTAGCAAGTTCGGCCAATCGCATCCCTGCCAGTCCAGGGTGTATGCTCATGCCCGTGTGGTGAACAGCAGCAAACGTCTTCTGAACCTCACCGCCTTCCTTCCACATTCCCCGGTATGTGGCCCCCACGCCATCATCCTTGTCATCAGTCGTGGCTGTAAGCACATTGTTTGCCACGGCTGAGATGCCAAGAGCAGCCGGAAAAGCAGCCGGCCCCAAGGCACAGGCACCCATTCCCGCCACGGCTCCGATCACCTCGGCCGCGCGATTGGCCTTTTGACGATAGACCGTGCGTGTCTTGGTAACCAAGCGCTTGTTCTGGATGCGCTTGCACAGCCGGGCGTTCTGCATCGCAAGCTCCTGGAACCTCTCGCTCATTTCCATGAGGCCCTGCACTCCACTCATGCTCTCGCCCGAAGGCAACTTGCAGCTGCGGACGCCCTCGAGAAACCGCTCTGCTAGAACATCTTGCTGCCACCCCACATCTCTTGCCAGAGCTTCCGCAGTGGGGTCCGAAGATGGGGCGAGAAGTCCAAGCTGGTTGGCCTCGGTCTCGCGCTGGATGTAATCGGCGAGGCCCTTCTTCAGAGCCGGCAGTGAAGTCAGGAAGGACTCAAAATCGCTCGTGAACTTGTTGTAGCAATCGCACACGGACCTCTCCTTCCACCAAATGCCGGCGGCAACCGCTAGTTGCCGCTCTACTTCCTGCACAGCTTGCCGCAGCTGCTGCTCGTCCCAGTTGCATGCATGGGCCAACAACCAACCCGTCTCTGCCGATTCTGGCCTTTCCGGCGCCAAAATCGCCTGCGGCGCGTGTGCACGCAGGAGCTTGTCGAACTTTGCCTCCAGCACCTCCTTCCGAGTGGAGGCGGAGTTCTGACTCAAGTACTGCAGCCAATCTGGGACCTCTGACAGCTGCATAGTAGGGCGCTCAGCACCTAAATCCCCCAGAGTAGACAACAAGCGCTCGCAAGCCGTTTTAAAGGCACTTCGGTATCGCCTCTTTCCGAAAGAATTCTTCTCGATGGCCTCGCGGTCTTTGCGTTCAGGAGTTGGCAGGCTCACAGCCCTCATCTGGCGAAAAAGCCCAGCCACTTCTGGCATGTCGCGCAGCTTCGCTTCCAAGCCTTCCTCCGTCAAGTCGTCAAGACCGGAGTCATCACGACGAATGAACAGCAAGTCTGGCTTGCTTCCTTGCAGCTGCATCTCTTCGCGAAGATATGCCAACTTGCTCATGGCATCCTTGAAAGCATCATTCAGCACATCACGGTCATTCCAAACGAAGAGCGTGGTGTTGAGGTAAGTCAGGGCGAGTAGGTTCTTGCTCATCTGAGAGTTCTTCAGGCTGGTCGAATGGCTCACGCCCTCGGAATCCATGAGCAAAAGGTTTTCGTTCGGCAGGAGGACTCCAGCCGCACCCTGCGTGCAGGGCACCGCCACGTCGTGCGACACCTCAAACCCGGGCGGCTGCACTGGAGTGTCTGGCTGATAAAGCTGGCGGAGAGCCTCCGCCAGCGTCGATTTTCCATTCCGGGAAGGGCCACACAGCGCTGCTTTCTTCAAACCACCTTTGCTCTCAGCTTCGATGATCTTGCAGTCCATGCTTAGCCTCGCTTCTATCCCCTCTTCGCCTACGGAGAACATGGGATGTACGATGCTCCCAGTTCCCAACCCCAAGCTTCGCGGAAGTGCGCATCGCCTGGCTAGCACAAGCATTGCCCGGTCGCCAGACTTGTGTTGGCCAAGACCGGGCGCAAACGCTGGAATTGCTTGGGGAGACAGTCCCTCGTACCCGCAAGGGAGGAGGAGGCCTCGCAGAGCTCGAAGTGCACGCTGCGGTTGCCGAGGTGCTAAAGCCATCAGCGGAGCTCAGAACCGAAGGCTGGAGCCTTCAAGGTCGTTGGTCTAGAACTCTGTCAATCTAAGCCACACTTGCGGTTGGCAGAACTGCGCGGCAGTACACATGACGGAAACAAGGGGGCACGCTCAGCAGCATTTCCCCAACTTGTGCGTCATGCAAGCATCTAGCGTCCGACATGCTGGGCTAGGGAACCATGCAAGGCAAGAGCTCTCGAAGATAAGTCTGATCCCTGTCCTGCGCTCCCGAAGAGTCTTGACGCCGAAAGGCTGCGCTCGGCGCGCCGCCTGCACAGAGAGAAAGATTGAACCAATGTCTAATCGAATTGAACCGATGGTTGCACAAGAGATTAATGTAAGCAGGCTATCTTCATGATCACTTCTGCTTCCACACAGATCGGATCTCATTAAGCCCCCAAAATACTAGGGTCCATATCAAGAACCCTAGTAAAGACCCAAGGTTTCTCGGCAGGTTCCTATATTACGCGCTAAACCCTAAACCCTAAACCAAAGACCATCACTTTGCGCCGTCTCTGCACGGCCTTATACTGCCCATGACAAAGCGGCGGCGCGAGGCAAAAGGAGAAAGACACCTCCGTGGTTTCGGGTTTACGGTTTAGGCGGCACCCATGCTGCAAACCAAACAAAGGAGGCAGCCTCCCAGTAACTTGGTGCTTCGGTGATCTTGGGCTTCAAGAGGCAACCGTCAAGAGCTTCTCTGAGCATCGGGATCTGAATTCGCAAACCCACTTCAGAAATCGAAACCTACTGAGACATCTACCCATAGGCCCCATACTATTTCCTTTTTGAGATAACCTTATAGGATTCCAAATATGAACCCCCAAAAGGAACTACTATGGGGCCTATGGGTAAACATAAGTCAAGGGAGACCTGCACCCAACACCCTGACACAAGCCGAACATACGGAACGATACACCCAACCCCAACAGCCAACCAACAGAACATCCTAAACCCTAAACCTTAAAAAGCCTTCAAGTAAGTTAGGGCCAGCAAACAGCCTAAATCTGAACCACAACACAAAGCTCTAAGCCCAAATTTAAAGCCGAGATCCTAAATCCTAGACTCGATAAACCCTAAACCCTAAACCCTGAACCACCGAACCCTAAACCCTGAACCCTGAACCACTGAACCCCAAACCCTAAACCCTAAACCCTAAACCCTACATCCCTAAGCAACCAGGTCAATGGCGCCTCGGCTCAGAAGGCGGCGCCGGCATCGACAGCGGAGGCCAAGGACGGAGGCGATGGGCGGCACAGGGCTTAGGGCTTGTAGGGCTTTAGGGCTTTAGGGCTCTAGGGGTTTAGGGTTTAGGGTTTTAGGGTTTTAGGGGTGTAGGGCTTTAGGGCTCCAGGGTTTTAGGGGTTTAGGGTTTTAGGGTTTTAGGGCTTTAGGGGTTTAGGGTTTTAGGGCTTGTAGGGTTTTAGGGGTTTAGGGGTTTAGGGTTTAGGGTTTTAGGGTTTTAGGGTTGTAGGGTTTAGGGTTCAGGGCTTTAGGGTTTAGGGTTTTGGGGCTCTGGGGCTTTCGGGTTTAGGGTTTAGGGGGCTTTAGGGTTTAGGGTTTAGGGTTTAGGGTTTAGGGTTTAGGGGTTTAGGGTTTC